CGCGTAGGTGCCCTTACCAAGCTTTGCTTTTTGAAAAAAGGTGCGCGCGCACATCTTGTTTTCTCAACGAAAAGCATGGTAAGGACACCTTAAATCTGCAGCGCGTAGGTGCCCTTACCAGGCTTTTTTCTAGAAAGAATGAGAGAGAGCGCGCACTTTTTAACAAGAAAAGCCTGGTAATGACACCCGAAAATCTGCAGCGCGTAGGTGCCCTTACCAGGCTTTTCTTGTTAAAAAAAGTTGTGTGTGTGCGCACATGTTTTTTCTCGAAAAGCCTGGTAAGGACACCTGAAAATCTGCAGCGCGGAGGCGCCCTTACAAAGCTTTTCTTCTAAAAAATGAGCCCGCGCTTTTCTTTTTCTAAAAGAAAAGCCTGGTAAGGACACGTGAAAATCTGCAACGCATAGGTTCCCTTACCAGACTTTTCTTCAAAAAAGTGGGGCGCGCGCGCCTTCCTTTTGTTGTTTAAAAAAACACACTGGTAAAGACGCCTGAAAATCTGCAGCGCGTATGTGCCTTTACCAATGCCTTCTTTTGAAAAAACATACGTTTGGGCGTTTGGGCACACATAAGCTTTTCATGTCCGAGATCCTTAGCCTTAGACGTTTTTCTAAACAACAAGAGGCTGAAATCAAGGATTCCTGCCTTTCTCCAGCCAAAGGCCAGAACCCTTAATTTCAACCTGTTTTTTCGAAAAAATTCTCTGAAATTAAAGATTCCTGCCTTTCTCCAGCCAAAGGCCAGAATCCTTAATTTTAGATTTTTGTTTTTCTAAAAAAAGTTAATTCTCTGAAATTAAGGATTCCTGCCTTTCTCCAGCCAAAGGCCAGAATCCTTAATTTCAGATTTTTGTTTTTCCAAAAAAGTTAATTCTCTGAAATTAAGGGTTCCTGCCTTTCTCCAGAAAAAGGCCAGAATCCTTAATTTCAGATTTTTGTTTTTCTAAAAAAAGTTAATTCTCTGAAATTAAGGATTCCTGCCTTTCTCCAGCCAAAGGCCAAAATCCTTAATTTCAGACTTTCTAGGAAAAAAAATTCTCTGAAATTTCAATGTTTTCGGCTTGGTCATTAACAATTTTTTGGATAAAATCCATGATTTCTTCGATTCTGACCAGGAAAACTTAAGAAAAATCAAGCAGTTTTCTTAAGCTACCTTGCCGAAAAACCAGGAATTCGTGTCTTTTTGGCTGGAATTCCTGAATGACCAAGCCGTAAACACTGAAATTTCAGAGATTTTTTTGGAAAAACAAAAAATCTGAAACTAAGGATTTTGGCCTTTGGCTGGAGAAAGGCAGGAATCCTGAATTTCAGAGAAAAAATAGGAAAAAAAAAGTCTGAAATTAAGGATTCTGGCCTTTGGCTGGAGAAAGGCAGGAATCCTGAATTTCAGAGAATTTACTTTTTTAGAAAAACAAAAGTCTGAAATTAAGGATTCTGGCCTTCGGCTGGAGAAACGCAGGAATCCTTAATTTCAGATGTTTTTCTCTGTTAGACACAAAAAAGTGGAATTAGGGATGCGTGCCTGAAATCAGGGCTCTGCCCCTGACGGCAGCGATTTGCCTGTGGCGCAGCTGAAAAACTCACACAGTCAAGGCCCCCCAGACCTCGCAGTCCAAAGCTGCCGTCCATTTGCTTGAGGGCCTGAACAGCTCTGAAGACTTCCGACAAAATTCCCTTGAAGTGAAAAAGGTCGTAAAGGCACGTGAAAATCTGCCGTGCGTAGCTGCCCTTACCAGGCCCTTCTTCTACAAAAGGGGCGTGCGCGCGCACACCTTTTTTCTGGAAGAAAAGCCTGGAAAGGGCACCCTAAACCCTAAAATACTGCACATGAAAATCTTGATTTAAAACGGGAATGTCAGTCTGCATGAGGAGACGGCGCAATAAAGCACTGCACATGTAAATTGATTGCCCCCCACCCCAAGTTGACGGCTCCGGCAACCAAAAAATCATCAAAAGCAAAACGCAAGCAACCGAACAAAAATTCTCAAATGTCTTCAGAGCCTGATGGCGAAAACTCTAATTGGCACACGTGCACCGCTCCTGAGCTGAACAGCATAATCAAACAAGGACGCACGCACTCACTCACAGAGGAGCCTGCCAACTGATTGCACCAATTGACATCTACACGGAATCTACGGCAATGGATTGAACCTGACCCCTCCACCTCATCCAACACAAAGGACTCAGAGCTTTTGACAACGGCATGTCAGAAGCTGCAGGCAGGTCTATTGCACTTCCAAGGAATCAGAAGAGACACCAGCAAAGCACTGGAGCTCCCACTTCTCTGAAGTCAATTGTATCTCTCTTCCGTTCGTAGGGGCAAAGATTTGGGTCTATAACACAGAGGCTGAAGCTCGCTCGGCCTTGGCACACCAGCAAGGCACTGGAGCTCCCACTTCTCGGAAGTCAATTGTATCTCTCTTCCATTCGTAAGAGCAGAGGTTTGGGTTTACAACACAGAGGCTGAAGCTAGCTCGGCCTTGATTTTGTAATTTTTGGCAGAAACGCTTGCCTGATGCTTTCCCGTTTGAACGCGCCCTGCCAAAAGCTTAATTTCAGCTCCAAACTTTTCTCCTTGATTTTTGAAATTTAGCAGACCGGTGCTTGTCGAAGATCGATGAAACCGGCACCACCAGAGACGGGAACTGGATCCACGAGCTCCATCTCCTGACTGACCTGACCGCCATCCATGATTCAACCTCCGGATCGTAAGCTCCGGCTGACTGCACGCGAAATCCACACTGTCCGGGATCCTTCTCGCCCAACAAATCTCGCGATTCCCCGCCAGCAGTTCGGGCTTGGCTCCTTGCGCGCCGCGTCAAAGTAGAACACATAGGATGCAATTTGGGCTGGGGCGGATCTTCCTAAGCTCTGCCCTTCGCAACGCATCCGAATTGGATGCCTGAGCCAAGGCTTCCCAAGCTGCCATTCTCAGCTGCGTCTTGCGGAACATCTTGGCACCCAAAGCTTGTGCTCCAAGTCTGTTGGCCTCATCCTCCTCACAAAGCGCGGCAGGGAGCCGGATCTGTTTCCTATAGCACCCATTGCGCCGGAGAGAAACTTCCTCGACGGGAGTCCGAATTCTTTGCCTGGGTAACAGCGCCGGTGGCCATGACGATTCGTGTCCTCCACGAACTTGCTGCACGCAAGACAACTTCCGGAAAGCTTCCTTCCAGATTTCTCCACGCCGCTCCAACTGTCCAATCTGCCATGGCGCCGCCCTTCCCGATGAAGTACTTGGCCCTGTCAGTGGCCACGCCTCTCTCTGGGTATCTGGCCCAGCCTCGAGAACCACGGTGCTGCTGGGGTTAGATATGGTGTCGTTCAGAAGGGCCGTCACCTGGAAGGTGGTGCCTTGACAAAGGATGTTTAACCACGCCCACTCTTGCCTGGCTGAATCACGTTCTGAGAAAACATCGAGTCCAATCTGCACGTTGAACTCCTCCGTGATGGGCAACTTGGCGGGCGCACACGCTTCTCCAAACCTCTGGGGCAATCATGACACCGGAACAAACGGCAGGCTTTCAACGCTACCTCCGAGGAAAGAAGCATCGAATTGTTGTCCGCACGTCCAAGGTTCACGTGCACCGCTTTATGGCCAACTTCAGCTCTCGCGGAGGCGCTTGCCATTGTCGTTCTCGTGCTTGTTCGCGTCCATGCCAAGGGTCAGCGTCTCCTTCTCCAACTCCTTCCCCGGATTGCCGCCCGAAAAGAACCAAGTAAAGCTTCCGGCCGAGAGCCAAAAACCTCACCTGAAATGACGGGGACACTGTGTACCGTGATTCCCAGTCAGTGCTGAGCCCGGCACCGTCCTCAAGCAACAAAAGGCTCTTCCTCAAAGGTACTTCACCCGGTCCAGAGCGCGGCTGGGGTTTCTTCATGCGTCTTGCTCGGCTGCTACTGCTACAGAGAATAGGAGGTCTCGACATCGGCATTCGCCGCCTCAAGCGCCAGCCCCAAATTGATTTTACTCCAACCGTGCCCTCCTTCATTGCTGTATGTAGTCCAAGGCGCCGTTCAAGAGCTCGAGCGTCTCGTCCGACGTCGACCCAAAAGCCCCTCTGTTGAAGTTGCCTGGCACGTGGTCTACGTCTCTGTAAAACTCGACGATCTGGCGCCTCTTCCTCGCGCGGACCCTCTGCTGCAGGTGCTTCATCAAATGGCCTTTCTAAACGGCCATTATCGTCCAAGCCAACTGGGCTGGGCTTGTATTCTGCCATCTCGTCTGGCTCCTCGTACACTGCACCGCTGAAGCACCTCTTCGTCGCGCGGACCGGCCCCGAGCACTTCGGATCTGCATGGAACTCCGTATTCGCCTGTCCACGGCATGTCCATTTTGCTCGTGTCCGTCGGCTCCTGGTACACTTCTCCGGGCCCCTTCCTGCATCAACATCCTATAGTCCGCCGCGTGCCCAGGATGTCTGTGAAGCTGACACGACGCACTCGGGCGAGCTGGCTCTCGCCTCCAAAATGCCACTCGTTCTTCGCTGGCGCCTCGTAGTCGGTCTTCCTCGACGGAGTCCCCGACCTCGTCGCCTTCAATGGACATGTCTTCGTCCTCGGCCGCGTAGGCGCCTGCAAGGTAGATGCCATCGTGGTACGCCATCGCGATGGCATAGTCCAAGTTCATGCTGTCACGCACTCCTCGGCAAATGGACCTGCACAACTCTTTGGGGCACGCGGCTGCTTGCGCGGATCTTGGTCCCACACTGTCGTTTCCCCAAAGAACTTGGTGGGCGCTAAAAGGGCAACTGCGCTGCTTGCAAAGTTGATTGAGTAGGGGCTCGCAATTGGTCAGCCAGCCGGCACGCTTCCTTATACGCAAGCCAAATCATATTTTCCAGACTGAGAAAATGCCAGTTGGCTTGTCACACCCTCAAGAACCCTGACCAGTTTGCGCTCCTGATACCCATAGAAAATGAGGCAGTTGCTTGTTGCAGCCCTGGCCACAAGCCAAATCACATTTTACTGATTGAGAAAACGCCGCTTGGCTGGTCACATACTCAAGAAACTGAACACGTTGGGCTCCCTGATGCCCACAGAAACGCTTGTTGCAGCCCTAGCCACAAGCCAAATCACATTTTCCTGTGTGAGAAAATGCCGTTTGGCTTGTCAAACCCTCAAGAACCTTGACCAGTTTGAGCTCCTGACGCCTGTAGAAAATGAGGCAGTTGCTTGTTGCATCCCTGGCCACAGGCCAAATCATATTGCCTGGCTGAGAAAACGCCGTTTTGTTTGTCACAACCTCAAGAAACTGAACACTTTGGGCTCCCTGATCCCCACAGAAACGCTTGTTACAGCCCTGGCCGCAAGCCAAATAACATTTTCCTACGCGAGAAAAATGTCGTTTGGCTTGTCACACCCTCAAGAACGGCCTGCCGCTAGCGTGGTCTCGAAGTCCGTACCTGCATTGGTCGCCACAAGCAAACCTGCCATCCTCCATGGACAACAACTCAGCAAGGATCTTATCGAAGATCCAGGCGTGCGACGCGGCTGGGTTCTCAATCAAATAGCACCTGCCAGCTTGCCGCTGCTTGCGGCAGATGCGCAGCGCCAACTGTGAAACGCGCTTGCCCAGGCCGCGCCGTAGCGCCGCACAATCCTTCCAAGGTGACATGTTTGTCAAAATCGACCACATTCGGCAGTCGAAGACGATGACCGTCAGGTAGGGCCGGCGCTGTTCAAGGACATTATCCACAAGCTTCCGCCTGGCTGGGCTTAACAGCTCATAGCCGTCTTGCAAGTCCAGAGGCTGGCTGCATGTCCAGTTGAACTCCTCGAATGCGCCCGGCGACGCCGAAGTTGCCGCCGAAGGTGGAACCGTGACTCGAAGTCCTTGGGCGCACCACTGCTCGGCCATGGAGAAGCCGCGGCGGAGGGCACCCTGCGCTCGCTTCTCCAGAACTTTCTGCCTCGCTGTAATTCCTTCACCCTCCGTTCGCTCAACGTCTTTCACCTTTCACGCCAAGCCTGGAACTGCGCTAGTAGGTAACGGAATCTGTGCCAGGATGGGCAGGCGCGGTTCCTCCAAGAAGCAGGCGAGGATGTCTTCCGCCTCCAAGGTCACCCGTGGCTGGTCAACGCTTGCCCCCGGGTTCGCGCTCGCTTGCCGAAGGCCAGCTCCTTCAATCTTGGCCTGCTTCCAGCGCCACACTTATGGCAGGGTGCTTGGTCCTGGTTACTAGCATTGGAACTTCCAGGCCCAAAGCTTGCACAAAGACCTGCCGGGCCTTCATGTGGAGGACCATGTCTAGCCCGCCCGTAGCCGGAACGGAAAGCAAGAGCGGGGCGTTGCCGGCGCCGACCTCCGCCAAGTACACCTGTCGTTGCCGACGAAGATCGGTATGCACCAGACGACCAGCTTGTCCGGGGCACTGTCCTTATTAGCAAAGTGAAAGGTCTGCCGTGTCGCCGTCTGACGGCACTGTGAAAACCTTCGGGAAGATGTCGAGCGTAAGCTTCTCGCCGTGGTCGAGAGCACAAGCAGGAGGCACACGCCGTATCCAGGAAAGCCACGGGTGACTCATCAACTTCTCCATCAGCGCCGTCTTGGAGCCGAGTGAATTCTCATCTATTGGTGGTGGCTGTTGTTTGAATTCATGCTCCTTTGGCTCTGTATGCCCGGACTGCAGCAGGGTCACGGTTGACATAGGCGAACTCCATGACCAAAGGTGAAACTTCCTCTTCTCTGCATCCTGTCCGCAGCTGCCTGGCTAGCTGGGCCCGCATGTTCTGGCGGACCTCCAAGTCCAAGGCCTGGTCCATCTCCATCATGAACTTGCAGCTCTTGCTCTTAGAGAGGTTTGAGGAGCCCAGGAAGAAGGCGGCGCCGTCATGACGCCGGCGCAATCATAGGAACGTCACATACCACGCACAGGACCTTGGGCACAATCTTGCCAACTTCCATGTCCTCAGAGATTTCAACCCCTGCGCGCGGATGGCAACCTCCGGCCTGCCCACCTGGAACTTCGAAACGAACGGCTTGCCTTGCTTGCTCCCTTCTTGGTCCCTGTCGTGCTCGCCTCCGGCGTCATGCTGGACGCCGTCTTCGCTGGCAAGGGCTAACTCATAGGCCGAGAGGCTGCCGCCGACACGAGAGCTGCGCATATAAGCTGCTGTCGCCGCTGCCACCGAGGGCGTTTGGCGCAGCCCTTCTTCTCCACTGGCTCGCCCTTGTAGAGCTTCTGGGTCGCTCCAGGATCTCGGCCTCCTTGCCAGCGGTCACAATCACACTGAAGCTCCCGCAAGCGCTACTCCTCCAGCAAGGCTGGCTTCGTTTCGGCAAAGGACGTCACCTTGATCTTCTCAACGTTCTTAACCGGAACCCTGACCAAAAGCTGATCGTTCTCGGGTTCCAGGAATCGGCTTCCTCCCACTTCTGGCATCGGTGGGGCGAACGAGGTAGGAGCGGTATAACCCGCACCGCGGTGCTCGGAAACCACATCCCACTCACTGCCGTCGTCGACGCGGGCCTCGCGTCTCTTGTCAAGCTCTGTGGCGCCGGCGTCCTGCTCCATCTTGTCCTCCTCGCTGCCGGGCCAAGGCGCCGGCATCGGACGCGGACTTCTCGTCATCCTCGGCGTCAGCCTCCATGGCAAAGTGGCGGCTGTCTTCGTCGTCCATGTCCTCGTCTTGCTCGACAACTCGGCGTCACTCGACTCCACCTTGGCCATGTGGACGTAGACGCGGCGGCCGCCGCCCTTGCCATGCTGCCTGGGAGGTCTGCCAGGTCGCGCGGCTCATCCCAGCTTTGCTTCCTTTGTCTCAGGTAAGAATCGATGCTTTGCCACTTCTTCCGATAGCACTTGTCGAAGACTGATCAAAGGCCTCCGTCTTGCGGATGACGCCTGCCTTCTCGATCTGTCCAAGGGTCTTGAAGATCTCCTTATAGCCGTCTGGAGACTTCAGCTTCTCGCTGTCCAGCATCAAGTCTTGGCAAGCCTTCCACGCCTCGCCGTGCAACACGTCCAGGAGCTTCCTTGCGAACCGTCTGCGCTTCTTCTTCAAGGATCGGGCCTCCTTGGTCTCGTCTCCGCTTCGTTCCAGGGAGTTGTACACGAACAAGACTCGGCGCCGGTACTCTCGGACAAGTGCCGGTTGCGCCCCCGTAAAGTGGGGTATTCCATCTCTGTCCACGACAATCTCAGAATGTGACGAGGCCATCGCGGATCAGGCTCCGCTACCAGTGCGAAGTGCACTGGTAGCAAAGCACGCTTGTTTTACCGCCAACATGCAAAGTGCTGAATATCAATGTGAAACTATCATCGCTGCACTGCTTATGTAAAGCGGACCTGAGCCTGCAAACTTGGCCAACTGCATTGACCTCCTGGGCTTGGGCCGGCTGCACTGAAAACAGAAAGTCGCGGCTGGGCAGTGCTCACAGCCAACTCCTGCACACGTGCATGGACCAACGGGAGCTTTCACACTGTGCATGAATACAGCCGGGAAGAAATCTCTTGCTCCTGTCAAGCTCTGGATACGTATAGTTCCCAAACATCCTTCTACTACTTCTCAAAGTTGAGCCTGCGGACCTTCAGAAAACGTTGCTGCACTCAAAGTATCACTTTGGGTCCAAGCCTCCTTCATCCGACTGAAGCGCGGAAAGGGACCCCATCCATGCAGGGTGTCCCCTACCACACTTGCTTCCTGTGCAGTTGGCCTGCATAGCAGCTGTTCTGGCTTCAGCTGATTTCCGCTGTCTCGTGTCTGCAACTTGACAAGCTGCACGTCGTCTTAGACGGATCGAAGCGTGCTTTCATAGGCTGGCCATAGGCAGGGACTTAGAGAGAGCTCCACAGCAGGCAAAACGCCACTCAGACACACGCTCCACAAACCATTCATGCCTTCATCTTACTGGCGGCTTGAAGCATCGAGGTCGGCTCGTGACCTTCAGGCACTCTCAAATGAGTTCAGCGAGTCTTTGCTGCGCCGCATATTCAGAAGCTACCAGATCACTTGGAGTGCTGTTGCTGTATAGAAGATTGCACGTGGGTACTTTCTTGAGGTCAGATGATACGTACAGCTTGGCGGCTACACCTCACTTTTGCGAGCATAGCTTGTTCGCGTTCTCACTTTTCCTGTTGAAGCGCTGAGTGACTGTTGCAAGACCCATCTTGCTCACACACTTCACGTGCAAGAGCGAGGTAGACAAAACCTGTGGATAAGCAGCGCCACATCGCCCTCAGTTCCACCATTCGATGCAAATTGCTCTCATGTTCTAGACTCTAGAGGTTTCGTTGTTCTTATTGGAGCACCATGCTTGCCAATGCAAAAGCAACAGGCAAAGGATCATCAAGCACAACTGGTTCAGGCTATACAAATTTCTCACACCATGGTCTACCAGCATCCACAAGGTGTTTTCCAAACAGACTTCTTGACGTTTAAGGGCTGCAGCGGAATGCTCTTGAGAAAAAATCAACTTGTCCAACCCATCTGTTCCCACAGAACCGTCAACGCTTGACAACACGACCTCGCAGTCTGGCGTGCTCGCTCCGAAATGTAGCTATCCGGGGAACGGGCTCAAGTGCATCTGCCCCTCTGATGGGTACTAATAATCTTAGGACCTGGTAGTAGCTTTGTGCATCTATGCCGGAAAAATTCTCATAAGTCTGTGTGTAGACAGCTGTGCCGAAGGCAGGTTTTAAAGTATGTTTGGGCGCATCACCATCAATGAAGCAGAATGATGGGGGAAAGAAAAACCTACACCATTGTGATTACAAGGCTATTGCATGCTCACACTCCCATCCAACTAGCCTTCATTGTCAACACGATCAGCGCCATGGTCGTGAATATCAGCATCATGAACATCCCACGTAGCCACTTCTTACCGTCGGTTGCTCCTATGGCATTTGTGACTCCTGCAGCGGGCTATGAACCTGAAGACCTCAACAGAATGTGGAAGCCAGGTTGCGTTCTGCAGCTCTATAAGCCGCAAGGGTTGGGTAGCGAAGCTCACCAGAGCCAAGCGGCTACCGTTCTCACAGTGCGGCCAGCACAAATCACTAAGACTATGTGGCTTCAGACTCTAGGCTTTTGAAATGCTCGCTATGCAGGCCATACCGATCAAAAGCCGCACCTCTCTACACTTGCCCTCCGTCAAAAGTACGTCGCCATAGTACCTGCGTGGGAGCTGTCGAGTGGACCAAATTGCAGGAACCAGAGCTCAGAGTTCAGGATCCAAACGGTGGGACTCCTATGGGCCATGGGCCTCATGATCGCGACGCAAGGACCAAGAGTAGATGCGTCGGAGACATAATTTCTTGGGAAAGAAAACCTTACTGAAATGTATATACCGGCAAGGGCAGCAATGTACGTCAAGACCGCCAGACCACACTGGCAGCAGCGGCATTTGATGCGGGATTTGCTTCTCAGATCGCGAGTTGGCGCACCGAACTAGATTCGGATGCTGGGGTAGTCTCTCCAGCCTGGCGACACAATTGTATGCATATGCTTCAAACTCTGACGCCATTCATGCGCGAACGCTGCATGATGCTTCATGATTGGCGCGTACCACCAACTCCGCAATGGAAAACGAAACATGGATCAATCACAACACGAGCCAGCCACACAGCTGAATTTCTCGCTGGGCCATCATGAAAGACGACTTGTCCTGCGAGCTTCACTTTAAAACACCTTCTCTGCTGAGAGCTGGAGGACAAACAGAGGAAATCCCAGGTGAAAGCTGTGCAAAACTGGGGAACGAAAATTGAAATGGCATAGCGGCATATTGCTATGGCCAGCAAACATCGTCTCACTGCGTTACGTCCACGTGATTGAAATCGCAAACTAACAACAACAATTGCCATCCACCTAAACGCGGTAGAAAGTCCAATGAATCTTTGATCTTAATGCCTCAACAAGCAGCTCCTGGCATCGGATCTTCTTCAGGACCAACTCCTCACCACTTGTCAAGGGCAAATACTTGCAGGGCCAGTGCTTTCAGAACAGCAGGAGGCCTCCACTACACATCTCTATGTGCTGTAGCCCGAACGCGACACCGACTGCGTGATTACTTATTTGATCATGTGTCACGATGCACTTTTCAAGCTACGAAACTTGAGAGAGCCTCATGAGGAAAGCCTGAGCTATCTGAAGCATCAGGGGATCGGAGGTAACATGTCGCAAGGCCTCGTTGGTCTTCGCATCATGGACCTTGGATAAACTTTCGCTGTAGTCCAACGGAAGTTCTTTCCTTTGCTAGTTCAAATGGAGTTCAACAACCCAGCAGAGCAGCGGAACCATCCCCTCCCTAAGGCCCGGGCTAGCCAGACGAAGGCAAAGCCGCCCTCGCTAATCTGCCGCGATTCGATTACAGAACGACCTTCCCAAGACATAGGCGAAAGGTCTCTTGTCATGTCTGGTCCAGTGTTCATGGCATCGCGTCGAGCGCAACATCTCCGCCTTTTCACCCCTAAGGTCTACCAAAACGCTCGGACAACATCCTCTTGGGTTGCTGCCGGCTATGCTGTGCTGCCGCCCATGCACCTGCAGAGGCACGAACTTTTGCCGTGACAGCTGAAGCAGGCGCCAGAAAGCCCACACGACCAGACTCAACAGGCACTCCACGGTTCACAGGCTTCACAGGTCAATTGCATCCGTGTGGTTGCTTGCTTCGGCAATGCTTGAATGTTGAGGCCAGCACGCTGGGGATGAACTTTTGCATCACTGGCCCAGCGGCCTGGCAACAGACGCAGACGGGGCCCCAAAAAAGCAATGGTCTTTGGGCGGCCGAGCGCCATGACAAACAGGTCTTTCGGCTCACGCCCAACAAAGTTTGCGAACCTTAAATCGAAGCCTTAATCTAGCACAGCCTATTTGCAGCGAGCTCTCTGGATTTCCAAAAACAAAGGTCGGATGGCTAGGCAGTTGGCAGTCCCCTTACCTCTGTCCCCTGAAGCAGACTACCCACTCAAGCACCAAGGCACAGTACTGCAACCTGCCTCGTTCAAGAGATGGCCTTTGGCCTCTCTGAACTTTTCGTAACCTCACCCCAGCAACAAGAATCATCCAGAGGTTGAAGCAACAACTCGCCAAAACACATCAGCGGTTAAATTTCTGAGCTAGCCATTTGTTCTGCCAGCCCTGATCTAGACACCTCAATGCTTCCAGTGTTTCTGGAAGTCGTAGCTGCGTGACCCAGCGGAACACATGTGTCGTGGTGCTAGCTGCTAGACCTTAGGCCTCAGCTTGCTCAAGCAAAACAAGCAGAATAATGGAAGAAGCCTGCTTTGAGGCGCTCCATGCCCCAAAACGCGTCAGCGCGGAGTCGGTTGGAAAAGCTCTAAACCATTTTGAGCAAGCGTGGGGTGCCAGTCTAGGCGAACAGGAGATGCTGTGAGGCTGGGGGATGACAAGTGGGCAGCTCAATCAAAGCATAGTGAGTGTCCTGGGCTGAGCTGGCTTTTAGGACTTTGGATTTTCTTGCTGTTTCAAAAGCCTGCTTGCAAGCAGATTACATGCTGGCTCATGCAGAAAGCATTCAGCTGAATCTTGAATGATACCTGGGAGAGGAACCGTGGTCGATGTGTCTGGGTTGGAGCTGTAAACTTAAAAATTGCTGCGGAAGCAGATGCTACCCAGCAACAATGGCACTGCTGTTGGCCAAGACCAGCATTGCATGTTGTTTTCGCTGAATCCTCCGTTAACACGTCTCCAAAAGCCTTCCAGCCTCTGGCGCTGCTAGCAGACTACGGCTACTGGCAAAACTGCCAACCCCCACTCCTGCCACTGAAGAGTCCAAGCTCTAATGAAAGAGTAACTAGCATAGACCAGGCAAATCTTTCTTGGGATGACGAGGGATCTCTCGGCTCAGCACAGCAAAGGTGTGTGGAGGTAAAGTTGGAGGCAAGAGCGTTCCTTTGGCTCTCCTGGACATCCCACAGGACAGGCTGCAACTCGTGCATGGGCAAGCGGTGCGAAGCCAGGACTGTACAGTTTCATGCTCTGTTCAGGAACCTCTATCCAGGCTTCAGGCGTTCATTGCAATGTGTACATTCGAGACTTGAGCCTGTGCAATCAATGCAGCGCACTCGCAGCGTATGCTAGAGCCACCCCGCCTTGTTGCCAGAACATTGCGAAGGCGCCTTCATGTGCAGGCTGAAAGAAGCACTTGCAAATCGGGACTCGTGAAATCTGTTACTTCTCGACTTCCGGACGGTGCAGAACCCAACACCGAAGGTGCACTCAACTGCCAGCACATGAGCCGTTTGCCTGGCAAGACGCACCATCCAGCCATGTCATGTCACTGCCTGGGAAGCCGTTTCATTCCAACACAAAAACTCAACATTGCTCCAAACCGGAAAATGTCATGTCCAGCCGTTGAAGCAAAACTCAGTCACAAAAAAGGAGCAGCTACAAAAAAAAGCGCCAGGACACTCTCCCAATAGTCGAAAACCAGGACCATTCCGCTTGCAAGCTGCGGCCACATGCCTTGATGTTGGATTCAACTTCTGGGTTGGGACTATAGTCTCTTGATGTCTCTTGACTTTCACCTTTGAGAGAAGGTGTGTGAATTTTGAAGGGCTCCAACCAGCATTTGGCTGCAGCTTCTTCAATCTGTCAGTCGGCATGGCAGGACGTTCTGAGATGCAATGGCCCTGATTGTGGGAAGCGAGGCGGAAACGATCATTCTCTGAAATTTCAACTTGTCAAAAAGCAGCGGCCGCCAAGGGCGGGTGACATGCACAATTATGATTTGCGAAATGCGGCTGCCAAGAACGGAAGACCTTTCTTTCATCAGGACCCGAATGAAATCCTGAAAGCCGAGCACTCTTACAGCCATGCGACCGTTCAGGGCGCCGTTTGCCATCGTGTTTGTGACAACCTTCTCACCCTGCAGCAGTCAACACAAAAATTAGGCCTTCCTTGCAGCCAATGCAGCAGTCGCAGGACTGCACTGAACAAACAAATTCTGTTGCGGAGACTGCGTGGGCTCCTTCTATTTTTGGCTTGGCTTTATCTCAAACAAGTCAAGGCTAAAGACATGTCAAGCAAGGGCCTGCTGGATTGTCACCAGCGCAACCAATTGATTCTCTTGACTGCCTTCTGAGTCAATGTGCTCTTGAAACTGGACCTTGCTGAACCAGCCAATGTGTTTACAGGTCGAGTTCAAGCCACAAATACAGCGACAAACTCCTGAGCCAGCTTGAGGGCTTCAGCACTTGGGCTTCAGAAACTATCATCACACGCAGCTGGGACGAGGCTCTCGTCAACCAGAAATGTCTTGGGTAAGCTTCTAGTGGATACCTTCATGTACCAGCAGCCATCTGTCAAGCCAGATTTCCCAGCGCTTGCAAAACAGCCCGATGACCCTTTTGTTTCGAAATGGAGCAGCACGCATAAACGCTGCATCCTGTCTGGCCATGGCGCTGAGTAGTTGAAAGGGTGCTCCGTGTCGATGGTGTTCGAATTGCCAGGCCCAAACAAGGGCGGATGGAAACTTGGATGCGAATCTCCGACACTTCAAAAAAAGAAGAACTTGCTCTCCTAAAATTGCACAACGCCTAGCGCCTGCATGCCTCCAACTTCTGCACAAAATCTACCCAACAGTCTTTTCAAAGCGAGTGGCTTCAGGACTGGGTTTCCGTTGCCATCGCAGCTTTCATGTGTAGGAGGGCTACCACATAGATGATTTGTCACCTGCACGTCACATGGCAGAAACCCCCTGCTCCATAGAGCAGAGCAATTGAATGTGCAAATATGCTATGAGATCTTGGGCATCTCGTTTGGATATCTAGGTTATCCCAGGATGTAGAAACAAGTGTGATAAGTGCACCACAGGCTTACAGAAGGTAGCCGAATCAGGAAGTCTTGTCAGACCCTTCGAATCTCTCAAAACCTGAGATGCAAGAACTTGAGAAAATTCTTACTGAGCTGTGCTTTAGATCTAGGGCTGGCAGCATACCCAATTCAATGCATCTAGGAAGTGGCCACCAACATTTGCAAATCAAATAGCAGAGCAGCACACGAATCGGCCTGCACGGCATGGGTGTTCATTTCATTCAAATCAAACTCCTCAGACATAATTGGCATGGCAGGACCGAAGAAGAGCTCGACTCTATTGTTAGATGCCAAGAATCGTTGCAACAGTTGCCGCCCACGCAGTTGGCATCGCAGTAGCAGTCCCCGTACTCGCCTTTGGGTTTTGGTAGTTTAAAGAACTTCTGGATGCAAGGCTGCACGTCTGGGCTTACAATGATCTGCCTGCTCCTTTCCCCTACATGTTCACCCCGTTTGATCTGTCCGAATCTAGCAGCAGCAGTCGCAAAAGCCGCCTGCAGCTGCTGACAACCACAACATCCGAACGGCTTATGGAGCCTTAAAGGCAGCAGCAGCACCACCGCCATAAACATCACCGCCACCGCGAACCATTGCACCCACCAGCACAAGCATTCGGGATGTTGCCAACAAATCCTGTGGTGCGTTCAAGGAAACTTCTGAAGGGCTTAGATTTACTCGACACAGATGGCAACACCAGAGCAACAACAAGAAGCCAAACTGCGCAAACCCACAGAATGCAGCGAATGTTGGCTTATCCGCTCGCATGCAACATACAAAAAACAGGCTCTACCTGAGTGAGGCATGACCCCAAACACTCTACACCCAGCATGACAGCGGCCGCCAAAAGCATGAGGAGCAACGCAGGACCCGAAAAAAAGAACACACGCAGGAGAGATCAAAAGCCCGAACTGCCGCTTTAACTGCATAGCACCAGCAGCACAAGCACTGCGCCTGCCCCTACCACCGCCAGCACTGGCACCAGCACAGTACTAGTACACGATCCAGCAGCAGTGCCAGCACAACCCACAAGCACAGCTCATTGCTACTAGCAGCAGCAGCAGCAGCAATCGGAACTGGACCTGCACCGGCCACCACTGCCACGGCTATCGGAGACGGAAAGAAAGAGACGGACTGTACCAAGAAGCCAACGAGCGGTTCTTTGTTTAAGGGCAGCTCTCTAGTAGAGGACCGGACTGCGCATCGTACAAAGGACCCTCCTTGCGGCAAGGCTCCAGGCGAGGATGCTGGCATAGCAACCAAGAAAAAGTTGACCTGGTGCACTATGTGCACTGCAGCGCACGGACCCTTGTGTTGGACTTCGTCGCATCTCAACTAAATTTAATGTGGGCCAAATTTCGGCACTCAAAAGGCCAATCTCGTCAGAAGCCTCTAGAAGGAACTACCAGGTAAATCTACATAATTTCGACAACTGTGAAAAAGAGAATGGTCAAACCATGTAGGTCATCGAACCCAAAAGCAGCCTTTAAATCCAACATCCTGAAAACACACTTTTGGAATGCCAAGGCAGATCAAAGCCTCAAAGCCCAAGTGGCATTGCAGCCGCAACCTGCCCCATTCCTCGTTTGGCTGGTCAGGTTCATTAAAAACTCTCTCGAATTGTCAGCCTGACCTGTCATGGGCTGGGGGCGTTCAACCATGGTCTTCCCTCTGAACAGGCAATCCGGACAGACTCTTCTCTATTTTTTGACAAAGGGCAAGTAGACACTGGCCGAAATTGTCTTGCCAGACAACTGGAGCATCTGGAAGTTTGCAGCAGTGCAGTAGTCTGTGGTGTCATACTTCCTGAGATCAGGGTTTTAGCTTTCATCGTCAACTTTTAGGTTTTGCCCCAAGTCCACGCATACAGCATTGAAACTGCATTTCAATCGAACTTGTTCCCACTAAGTCTCCGCAGAAAGTCAACAGAACAGCACTTGCCGGAACGATGAAAAAGAGCTAGGCATTGCACAAAGCATGGCCGTGCGTGCTTTTTCACGAGCAAAAGCACATGACTTGAACTACCCTACTCCAAAAGGGATGATGAAGTGCTCGCTTGCAGAATAAAGCTAAGGCAAGACCCAAATCATGATGCGACGCAGGCGGCATCAGGAAGTACTTATCATTGATACCATACACCAGGGTCCGCTTGTCAATGATGTCTGCACCAGGCAGAAAATAGGTGTTCCAGGTTCCGTCCTGGAGTTCACACAGAAACGTGATGCAAGTATGACTTCCACTAACCTTCCCGCACCTGATCCTCTCGTGAGGCGGCTGCAGGAAAACAATGCTGATAAGTGTGATTCGACTACAACTCACTACTTCACGGAAACCTCAACATTCAGTTGACAAAACATCAACTGCTTAAACCAGATTGTCTTTTGACCGCTAAATGGAAGACCTACAAGTTTTGGGCAAAATCCAATGAAAAAATTAAAGGACCGGAGAAACCCACATGTCTCGTTTAACCTTAGTCTAAGTGAGATGATATTAGGATACCGTCGCCCGCCGAAATAAAAAACTATGTTCGAAGAGGAGGTGAGAAGACGAAGCGATATTTTGGAACGACGCGAATGGGGTGTTACGCGAGTGTGAATGTTTGTGTGTGTATGTGTGTGAAAAACTCGAGACGACATTCCGTGACGAAACGATGAGCACATTGCGCGAGCGCGAATTCGGAGCTGATGCATATGTATATGTACATGGTCACATGTATATTTCGCATATCTGTCTTTCCAAGCTCCCGATCAATAGGCCGCATCGCCAGAAGAACACCCCAGATAAGCCCGCAAAAAATTTTGCTGCCAGTCTGCCGCAGCTCCCCATCCCGGGTCGCATGTCGCCAAACTGGACGGACGTCAGGATTCTTCGCAGGTAAAGCACTCCAGAGATCGCGCTTGCAGTGGACGAAAAAGAATGACAGAATGATGCGGCGACACCACACAGTCATGTTCCCACTCTCTGATCAATGTCCGACATCTCAAAAAAGCCTCTCCCTTCTGGACCGCAGCCACCCCTAAAGCACGAGCCTCCAGTTGAGCGCGCAGAGGAACAAAAAGACACCCGCGAGTGATGAGGAACGACGACCGACTTGAATGTAAACAACGGACTAAGCTCAGCTGGAGCTCCAACTTTCAAAAGTTCCGACACCACGTTCTCCCGCCCGCTGTAGCAGCCCTTGATCAACCGCAACTGATTATTCCACTTCTCAAAGCCGAACACATGAAAAGCCTTGCCTTTCAGTGTCAGAGTCCGCAGGACATCCAAGTATTCCTAGGGCCGAATGCAAAATCAAAAGCCTCTGTCGATTCTTGTCCCTCCATCCACAACAACACGGTCTGCAAATTGTGATGTCTGCTTGACCCTCTCGCGGCACGCAAGAACGCCAACTCCTCCACATACTCGCGAAGAGTCCAGTGTTGGAGAACATCTGGCAGATTAGCCTCTTCCACACCGGGACGCTGAATAAAAATGGAGCGGTCGTCTGACTCGAAGATGTCCTTCAGCCTCTCCAAGTCGCCGCTCAGAACCGGCCAAGCCACCGCAACACTGCGACCTGGATCGTCTGCCCCAAACGACCAGAAGTCGGAAAAAGAAAAGCAATCCGCGCCCTCAAGCCAGCCGCAAAAATTCAAAGGCTGCATCGCAAGTACTTTCGGAACTGACGAGCAAGAAAAGGGCCGCTTCTCGGAGGAACCCTCCCTTTTCCCCGACCACGAGCGTGACCGATCCGCCGCAGAAGCCCTCAGCATGGAAAGCAACTCCTCGTCCCCTTGAGCTCCTCGGCCGACCTAAACGCCAACTTCAGCGGCTCGCAGGGAGTGCCGCGAGACGTGTCCGCTCCTCAACCCAGCCAAGCTCGCACACAAACTTTGCAAAGACTTCCCGCCGCGTGCAGAAAGAGATAATGATCTCGCGACTGCTGGGTCAGCTGGCTGATACGTCTCCTGTCAATCCTACCGGGCACGTGCAGGTACATATCCAACTCCACCCCCGCGCAGAAGGCACGCGGCCGGAGGGAAGGCCATACTGAAGGTGTCCGCAGTCGCAAGATTCCCGGACTGGCATTCGAAGCACGAGCCCACTCCAAGGCGATCCGACGCGGATGACTCGCTGCACCGCGACTGAGATCGGCGCCATGATGCAGCCAGAAAGTCAAGCACGTCTCACATGTCGCAACAGCAGCGTGAAGAAACAGGTAGTGATCTCGCTCGCCCTCATCCATACAAACAATCACACTCCAAAGCACCTCATCAGCAACGTGCGCATAGCAGTCGACATTTGCCTCAGCACAGAGACTAACGGAAGGATCAGCCATCCAGCAGCTGCAACCAGCCCAGGGCAAGCACTACTCACTCTCAGCGAGCCAAAAACGATCGTGCAGGAATTTCGGTTGCTCGCGAAGACAAAATGAGAGAACATAAAACATTCAAGTCCGACGTGGAAAAATGGAGAAAGAGAGGCCAAGGGCCGAGAGGTTCGCGGGAGGGTCTATAGAAGACGAATTTCAAGTGGCCTAGAAGAGGAAATGAAAGGGAGCAGAGGCCGGAACCTGAGACGTTCGCGGAGAGGTGTAGAGGAGGAGTGTACAGGGAGTTGAGGCAACGATGTATTCAGCTTCTTGGCTGGGGAAATGATTTTCTGAAAAATCTTAGGGGGACACCCCTTGCCATCTGAGGTTTGGGGAGTTGATTCTCTGAAACATCTTAGGGAGACACCCCTTGCCATCTGAGATTTGGGAATTTGATTCTCTAAAAAATCTTAGAGGGACACCCCTTGCGATTTGAGATTGGGGAAATGATTCTCTGAAAAACATGTTAGGGAAACACCCCTGGCGATTTGAGATTTGGAGAAATGATTCTCTGAAAACATGTTAGGGAGACACGGCTTGCCATTTGAGATTTGGGGAGATGATTCTTTGAAAATCTTAGGGGGCGCCTTTCGATTTGAGATTTGGGGACTTGATTCTCTGAAGAAATCTCAGGGGGGGCACCCTTTGCGATTTGAGATTTGGGGACTTGATGCTCGAAAAATCTTAGGGGGACACCCCTTGTGA